AACACAGTATTTGTGTGTCCCTCGAGGGTGTGCTTCAGCTGGCCTGTGGTGGCATCCCACACCTTGACGGTGTTGTCTTTGGAATCATGTGATCCAGAACCAGAGGCGATCCACTTGCCATCGGGCGAGATCGCCACAGAGTTCACATAGTCTCTATGCTCCGTAAGTGTCATCACACACGGATCCCAGGTGGGTGCTGGACCGCAAGTGACCAGGAACGGGATCTTGTCCTCGAGTTGGTCAGCATATGTCTTGTAGATCGCCGTCTCCTTCGGTGTGAATGCATATCCCGAGTTGTACACCTGTGGTGCACTCTTGATGATCGGGTCGGCAAATTCGCGGATGAATCGATACGTGTCCTTGACCAGTTCCTTCGTGGTGTCGTCGACGATGGTGCTGGGTGCCTTGGCGATCACTCCTCGCAGCACAGCCAGTTGCTCGGCAATCTCCTGAATACGATGTGTGAGTGACCCACACTCGAGCCAGTGGAACACATGGGTCGACATGAATTGGGTGAGAGACGGGGCCAATTCTTCGAAGGATTGTGTCTCAAAGGGACCATCCAACTCAACACCATTGACCTTGGTACCCTCAATCAGATGGGTGACCCAGTGGGCGACGCTGTATCGCAGCGACGGTGTGATGGTTTTGTTAACCCTGTCCTCGAGGTCTGGGATCTTGTCGTGAAAGTCGAAGATCTCGCAGATGTTGACCACTGGCTCGTGCGAGAGGATCACACCGAGACATCCCTTGGCAAACACCGTGTGGAACGAGCTCGACACATGCCATGGCTCATTCTTGGACTCGTCGCCGAGGAGATAGTCCGCCACCGACTTGTGGTTGAACTTGACCTCGCCATCGTCGGTGGATCCGTTGGCACCAGGAGCGAGAACCAAGTTGAGACTCCTCAGGCATTCGTGAACTATGCGGAGTGCATATCCCTCGGCCACGTTGCGGAAGAAGACCCCGGAAATCATATTGGGCGTGAGGATGGTCTGCGATGTGGCGATAGCCGAGATCACGGTGATCAGTTCGCCCTTACGGCTCGACCCGGAGTGGATCTTGGTGAATGTGATCCCGTAGAGCTGCTTGACATCAGTGGCACTGTCATTGAGCTCCCTGATCTTGGTGAGTGTGATGGCTTCGCTCTTGGCCTGCTCCTTGAGCGTGTTAAGGATCAGGTTGATCCACACGAATGTCTTGGATTTGTCATCGTCAGCCGAATCCTTGGTATCAGCTGGCTTTCCATGTTCATTCGACTGAGCCGGGTTGTGGAGGATGATCTCGATGGCCTGATCTCTATCGACCTCGGTGAGTCCCTTGTGCTCGTTGGTGAGTCGGTGTCTGATGAATACCCTCAAGTCGGCGATATTCTCATCGCTCGAGGGCTCGATTGTTTTGGCATTCACTCCATGGAATGCTGCCTTGATGTCGTCCTCGGGACGAGATGTCAGCAGCAGCTTGAGCCACGGACGGGTCTTGTTCAGCTCGACGAACCGCCAGGCAAGCAGACTGAGCAGCTGGTCGCGTGGAGAGCACTCGTCGAGTGCATCCACCAGGATCATCACCGATCCCTTGGGTCTGTATTTGCCGATGGCCTCGAGTGGATCGGCAATCACAGCCTTGAACAACTCGGGGATGGGCATCTTGTCGAGACTGTCCTTGGAGTGGCCAGCATCGAGCAGCTTGCGGCCAATCGGGGCATACCACTGGCACAGGCCGTATGCGATCGTGCTCAGCACGGCCCGCGGATCGCTCTTGCGGGTGTCGTTGTACTTGAGGAACAGCGCCGACACCAGCTGGTTCTTGCCCCGGAGGAAGCTGGCCAGCTTGGCTGCGGCAACAGACTTGCCCACACCAGCAACGGCATTCACCCACAGGACAGTGTCTTTGGTGTCTTCGTTGACCCAGTGAGTGACTTGGTCGAACAGCCACTGGCGGGTACCCTCGACATACAGATCCTCAAGGTCGTGCTGGTCCTGGGTCGAGTCGACGGGATCGAGGAGGGATCGCAGGAGCGAGTCTTGTTCGGCGGTGAGGACGACACTGCCGCCTTGTGTGTACACGTCGCCCTCCTTGGCGGCAGTGGAAGTCTTTGTTATGAGCTCGTGAATATTGGGCACTAGTCTGTCGAATATCAAGAGTGTGAGATTGTATCGATAACATGATATACAACAGTGATACGCTTACCTCCGCAGTGCGTTTCCGTCCGAGGCATCAAGAGCCTGTAGCTTCATCAGCTCGGCAAAAGTTTCACGGATCGACATTGGCTTCCCATCGAACAACGGGCTCTTCTCGTGGATCGGAGGGTAGTCAGGGAGCTCTTTGATGGGCGGGAAGTACTTCTTCTGGAATGTCTCGCCATCGATCTCTTTTGAATACCACATGAAAATTGGCTGGATGGTAACGGGGTTGCCACTCTTCTCGCCATCCTTCATTCTCTTGAGAGCGTGCTGGATCTATAGACACAATGGATGTGAGACTGCGAGTTTGAGGGTAAAGAGGGAGAAGTGAAGATACGTACCTCGAGAAATTGATTGTCTTTCTCATTGTGCGCGTTGTAGGTTTGATCGAGTCCAGCCTCGGAGAGAACTAGGACAATCACGTCCGATTGGTAGAGACCATTGATGAAACCTTGTTCCCAGGGCATGCCGTCACAGAGACAGAGACTGTCGAGATAGGGATGAAGTGCCATTTGGCCTCGCGGAGTGACAGCGAGGGTTCCATGCAGGGCAGTCGCATTGCTGGCGTCACTACGGACTCGGTAACTGTGGGGGCACATGTTAGCTGGGTGAAATGACGTGGTTGCGAACGAATCACCGCTTACCTGATGAAGACGTCGTGCTTCACATAGTGTGTTTTGCACTTCCAATTCTGGGTCGGTTCTGCCGGAGTGTACTCGCTTGGATCCAGGAGACGTTTGGGCGGAACAATAGTGGGTTTGGAAGGTTTTGTTGGCTCCTTTGGTTTATCGAGTCTGGGTGAACCATGCTTTTGTTGTGCAATTTTGAGTTTCATGATGGCACCATCATTCAGGCCGACCTTGGCAATCTGGATATCATCGAGAGCAAGGAGCTGTGGAGTGCAAGGGTCAGTAACGCACTTGGTTGATTCTATGGATGGTAAAGGATACCTACCACATCGACGGTGTCGTAATCGCGTTCCTCAAAACGGCCTTTGAATTTAGTGAGTCCGTTGTCCTCAAGGAATTTATGGAACGTATTCGAAGTATTGCGTAGTGGCTCCTCGTCTGAGGCAGTTGCTTGGATAGGCTCTGTCTGAATGATATCGTTGACACTGGTTTGGTAATCTGGTGGTGGAGATGTCAGAATGTTGTCCAGGGGCGTTTCATCACCCTCCACTTTGATATCCGATTTGGGTTGGGGAGTGGCTTCTTTGTCTTCAGTAACATTTGTTTGCTGGATAGTGGAAGTGGATGCTGGTGCCGGATTGGAACTGGAGGGGGAGGCAAGAGCTTGACGATGCCTTTCCTGCGCATTCTTGAGGGTTTTGATATGACCAATCTTCAAGCCAATATCCTTCATCTCTTTGCCATCTAAGGTGAGGAGCTATGGTGCACACGTTAGCAATGCGGGTCAAAGTACCGAGGATTGGAGCCGAGATCAAGCTTACTAATTCGATAGAATTCAATCCGTTTTCGATGAAGCAATCTCTTTGCTCATTGAGGCCATATTTCTTAAGGAATTCATCAAATTCTTTAGACTCCTCTGTCAATTCGGTCTCTTCGTCTTCATTAGAGGTCCTAGCGGTTTTGGATTGAATGTCGCCGGGTTCCTTGGTGTTAACTTGGGGGGTGTCATCTTTGGATCGAATGAATGAAAGTCAGATCACATGACAAACCAATCCAATTCGAACCACACTGGATCCGTGGCTCGATCCACGATCACTCCGATGACGGGGGTTCGATTCCCGACATCGCCATTTTACCGAGAAGTCGTCCTGGTTTATCTCCAATCCACGACCATTATTGTTCAGAATCGATTCAGCAATCAACGACACTGACCTGGTGCTTGTTTCTTCTGGTGCAACCACCAGAGGGACAGCAGTCCAACGAGGGCTGATATGACGATGATCCTTTGGAGCATCGTGGATGAGATCAGGGCGATGGGGGAAAAGGGAGGACCGGGGGTTGGGTGGATGCTTTATACTCCCCATCCCCGGGTGGATTGGGGACCCGAGCCCCCAAACTCGGCCAGAGTCGCGCGATGCGAAAGGGGAAGGACGGACGCCATCGACAAAGCAAAATGTAAAACACCTCGTCAAGTCGGATACAACGGTAAATGTCTGTGGATGGCGATAAGCTATCGAGCCGCACAGCACGAGCCTGCTGCGCTGACAGGCGGTGCCACAGGCATGGCACAAGCTGCGCGCGAACCCGATTGGATAGAATGGCCGGGCATCAAAGGCCGACTTGGGCTCGGAGAGGGAGCGAGGGAAGCAAAGATCCGTTCAAGATAAGACTTGTCTCGAAATGAGACGTGAGGAACACTCAGAGAATAACGTAGAAGGCACTTTATTTAGTCCTATTTTGAACGCTGAGGTTCGACTACACATCGCGGGGGTCAGGCTATTTACAGGCAAGCCCGGACTAGGCAGCGATGGGCAGCCAAGGGATGGAAAAGTGGGCGATCGAGCAGGGCGGTGCTTCTCAAGCCAGAGCCGGAATCGGTTCACTTTGGTGTCCAAAATGAAGTTTGCCTGCTTGCATACCAGTCGCAGATTCCCGATAACTGTGAGTGGAAGGGAGAACTGGAAAGAGTCGTTGCAGCATATGATGGTGAAGATGTCGGGGACAAGGCCCCGATGAACCGGCTGGACAGGGTTGAGGTTCGCGGGGCTTGTACCCGCACCGGCTAAGGCGAGGGCTCGACGGGTCTGCGAGCGGGTCACTCGGCGCTCAGGAGGGCTCGCCATATTGGCTGGATGGGAGATGGGAGATTGTCGCTGGAGCTGGGGAGGCAGGGGGGAATCCGCATCCAACCCGAGACGAAGATCACCGAGCCTGTCCGAACCGCGGATCGAATCGGATCCAGCCGGTTCACGTGGTTGCTGGCAAGGATTCGACCTGTCACTCGTCCCACAAGGACCGCCAAACACAAAGACTCCATGTCCCATCACCCAGAGTACATGTACACGGATCAAAGCAGTGTCTTTATTCAATCAATTCATCCTCAGAGTCAGAAGTCAAGTCAAAGATCGCACCATTGAGCTCGGAGGGAATGGAAACAGAATCATCCAGCACAAAAACATCACCATCATCGTCAATGTCCATCGATTCACTGCAGAAATCCGCCAATTCATCATCCGACATGGAGTATTCGTCTTTTTCAAATTCGGCCTCGTAAAAGTCGTTCGCCCGGTACCATTTGTACAAACGTCGGCTCTCCCTGCCACTCAGAGGCTTGAAATCCGGGTGATCCCTGAAGCACTTGACGTTGTGGGCGATGAGGTCGACGATGGCTTGGGGAATGCTGATGACGGATGTGTGAGTGACGACCTCCCTTCTGTAGAACCTGCGGACGGACGCCCAGTGTTCAGCACTCTGTGTCCACTGGGCGTTGAATAGGAGCCTCCAGAACTTCATTTCCTTTCGATTGCCTCGATGGTAGAGCCACTTGCGTCGGTAGATCGTAGCGAGAATGGCGGTGGCAAACGGATACCCGGCGGCACTCGCATTCTCGAGTCTGGGAATCGCCTTCTCCTCGACAACATTGTCCGAGTATATAACCGAGAGGCCGTATCGACTCAGATATCCGATGCCCAGCATATACACCGCGACAGTGTCCCCGAGTTTGGCGGCATTTTCGACGGCATCGTAATAAGTCTTCAATTTGTTGCGGGTAATTCGATATTTACCCTCCGATCCAATGCAGCGGTTCATCAAAATGCGGGCAAAGACGGCAGAGGCAGTTGCTCGCTCGGCCTTGGTGTACATCGTGGTGTCCTCGGGTGCGTCCATAATCTTCAAGAGCCAGCGGTCGTCGTAGAAGCTCGGGGACGGGGAAGGGTAGCTCCGGAAGAGGCGCTTGGCGTCTTGGTCCAGAATCGCTTTCTGTACGTCAAACTCACCATATCGATTGGCGAGGTAGTCTCCGTGGCTATGGTAGATATCCATCCCATTCATGTCGAGCCAAAGTCGGAATTGGACCAACTTGGAGCCTCGAATGAATGAGTCGATCGTCTTGCAGGTCTGCTTGAGTCGGAGCAGGGTAGAGACATCCAGACGCCAGAGGAAGGAATCGTTGGACACCACAATGGAGGCTTGGACCAGAGGCGAGACTTGGTGGCCTTGGTGGTCTTGGGGGAGACAGAGACGCTTGCCGGAAATCTCGGGAGTGTCGACCATGGAGGCGAGAGCGGTGGAAGAGAGAGTGTGCTTCATAGTGAATATATAGTGTAGTAATAGTAGGGAGTAGTGTGTAAATCGTGGGATAGAGCGGTGATGCGAGGTGTGGTTGCGTCGGAGACGGAGGGAACGGCCTCCCTTTTATCATCGGGGGGTGCATCCGCTGCCTGCGTGCACATGGGACATGTCGATTAGCTGGGGTTTGTTTCAAAATCGATAGCAAGGCATTCTCCTTGATGGGCGCCCCAGCGAGGATCGTATGATGCGAAAAAAAGATAGGCTTTGACATCCTGAATGCCAATCACCTTCATTTGATCCGTTTGGTGTGGTCAGCATGATGCATGCGACTCCTTCGAGTGTCCCGGGCTTGACACCCACCACACCACTCGGGAGGATGCGGCGCAGTATGATTATCTGCGGATCTTGTTCTCTGGCGATGACAAGCACATCCCATGTCGTTTGGGGCAGTCCACATGCATCATGCGGCTCATTCGAGTGTCCCGGGCTTGTCGTCCAATGCACCAATCGAGAGAATGCGGCGCAGTATGATTTTCTGCGGACCTTGTTCTCTGGCGACGACAAACACATCCCATGTCGTTTGGGGTAGCCCGCATGATGCATGCGGCTCCTTGGAGTGTCCCGGGCTTGTCGTCCACCACACCACTCGAGAGAGTACTTGCTTTTTTTCCTTGTCGTTGGGTTTTCTCATTGATGTGATTTGATTTGGGTGGAGACCACTTGCTCCGAGGCGCATGGGGGTATTTGGCTGGCGGTGATAAATAGCCCATCGTCTCCCACCTCCAAGTTCTCATCCCCCACCAGTCTCTACTCGACTACGACCTACTTCTCTACAAGCGACTACGCTCTACGATTTACACCAGGTTCGTGCTCTCCCACGCACATTGCGGGATGCTTCAATGCTCACAGTTACTGACACACCCACCTTTCATCCAGATATAGACATGTCTACACCTTCCGCCTCCCCCACTGCCCCTCTGCGCTCCCTCCGCTGCACCGAGGTCCTCGTTGATGGCACTCGCTGCCCCGGCCGCGCTGTCCAGACCGGGCTCAAGTGCAATGTCCATTGCACCAAGGTCGGCTACAATCACCGCTGTCCCTATGCCACGGGCATGTCGGGATACACCATACAGTGTTCGAAATCCTGTATGGAGGGGTACGATGGTTGCTTCCATCACCGCCGCTTCCCCGAAGCGGACTATGTGGGTCGCTGCACCCACATGACCAAGAAATCCGACTTGAAGATCCGCTGTTCCTGCAAGTCTTTGCATGGCCGAGACGTTTGCGAGTGGCATGATCGTTATCCCACTCGCTCCTACTTGGATGTAATGCAGGTCGATCACAAGCCTGCGTATTACGACTCGGACTCGGACGACGAGCCCGGACCATCGACTCCTCGTCGCGCTCCCGTGAAGCGCATTACCCGCACCCCCGAAGCCTTTTGGGATGCCGAGGACCATGATGAACCCGCCTTTGTCTCCCCTGAGCAGAAGGCCGCCGATGTCAAGAAGGCCGAGGAACTCGCCAGGATCGTGAGTGCCCTCATGTCTGTCTCAGACAGAGGTGAGGCCATTGATACGGATGCCGTTAGCAAGGTGAGCCTCGGACCCGCAGCACCCAGTCCTGTCTTTCTGGCTCTCAATCGCGTCAATGTTCTCAACTGGCTTCTCTCCACCCCAAAGATTATTGCTGGTGTCATGGGTGAACGGTCCCCCAGAGAGCGTCGCGCCTTCACTCCCGCACCCAAGGCCTCCAAGGGCACCAAGGTCAAGACTGAGCGTGGCTAAATGGGTGGATGTATTGTTTTGTTTGCACAGTCATGAATACATTTGACTGACTCCAACCACGAGCACCACAGAGATGGGATATACTGAATACTTCGTTCACTGACTTCAATTGATTCGCTTCCTGGCCTCTTCGTGTCCCTGCACAGCGGACTCGAGGAACCAATTGGTGGCTTCGTCTTGATCTCTTGCGACACCTTGGCCATACCAGTAGCAGATGCCAAAACGATACTGACCGTAACGATTTCCCTGCCAGGCTGACTTACGGAACCATTGGAATGCTTCGACATGGTCTCGGTCCGCCCAGTTGCCCCATAGGTAGCATAGTCCGACTTGGTGCTCGGCGTAGGAGTTGCCCAGGGCAGCGGACCTCAGGAACCACTCGAATGCTTGCTGTTGGCTGGCAGCAACACCAGTTCCGGAGGAGTAGCACCGGCCGAGTAGGTTCTGGCTGTCACTGTGACCATCATTAGCGAGCCCTTGCAAGATTTGCACTGCTCTCTGAGGGTCCGTGGTGACACCATACCCATAGAGCAGACATATGGCCTTGAGATGCAGACAAAGCCAATCGTGACTTGCTCCCATTTCACAGAGCCAGTAGAGCGTTCGACGTGTTGTGTTGGGTGCTTGATAGTTAAAGCGACAGGGATCCACGAAGCATTCGTCTTCGCCAAGAGCGAGGCCACTTTCGCGGATCATCTTGACGCCCCTGGGCTTGTCCTGAGGAACGGATCGACCAAGGTAGCGAAACCATCCAACCATGAAGGTGGCGATGGCTACATGGGCTCGAAGATTGGAATGCTGGCGAACTTGCTCCCAGCACCCAAAAGCGTCGGTGTCACTCTGCCCTACCCTTTGGCCGAGGAAGTAAAGCCAGCCACGGAAGAAGACAGGACGGTAGCTGTGGTAGCCATATATGGGTACATCCGCCTTGAAGTACCAGTCGATCGCTGTATCGAGATTGAAGTCGACACCCTCACCCTGCTCGTAGCAGCTTCCGAGGGCAACTTGAGCTTGAACCAGACCGGCTGCGGCAAGCTTCCTATAGATGGCGATGGCCTTGGTGTCGTCCCGGCCGACTCCATGGTTCCCCTGGTAGCACTTGGCCAGGTGGAATTGGGCCATAATATGGCCAGCATCGGTCGCTTGCACCAGTCTTCGGAAGATTGCACGCTCCACTTTGTTACCCCATCCAGGAGGCGACATTGGGTCAATCGTCTCGATGAAAAGGCGAGCCAGAAGGTAGGAAGCGGAGGCGTTTCCTTGGTCTGCTTGAGCGTTGAGCCAGGAAAGATCGTCGGCAGCTTGATCGGAGTAGTGGCGGACGACAGCGTAAACGTCTGCACAGATGTTGTGGCCAAAGATCGATTGGCTCATGAACGTGAGCCCGTTTCGCATGAACCACCGACGGACACGGAGAATCCGGGAGCTGGCAAGACGCTCGGCTTGCTTGCAAACGAGGAGGAGGGCATCGACGTCCTCCAGGGCGAGGGAGAGCTGGAAGGTATTGTTCCAACAAACGATCGTGAAGATGTCTGAGTCGTGGTGAAAGGGATTTTGCCTGGGGTCCAGGACGGGCAAGCTTGTGTCCGCTCCGAGGAGCCGGTGCTGACTGGCGGTACCAGAGGTCATTTTCTTGTACAGGTGGAAGACAAAGGGTCGTTTGAGCTGACGGACAGGCAGGCAGGCAGAAGAACAAAGGGCCGAGATAGCGGTGGAAGGTGGGCGGGCTTGTTGGGCGGGCGGGAGGTGGGCTTGTGGACCCGGCGGAGTTGAGCCACCAGCACGGGGCGCGCTGACCATGAGGATGGGTCGACACGTGCACATCAGGTGTACAGCTGCTGCGCATGGACACTCTCTGGGCAGGTCTGGGTGGTGTCTGGCGCTGACACAGCACACCATCCATGAGTCGACACCACAATTGGACTTTGGGCAGCAATCTGGTTTATTGAATCCATGGAATCACACCTACACTCGATTATAGATGCTGTCTGGAATATTCGCTTAGTTCCCGAGCGACTTGCGGCTCTTGCGGAGATTGGCTTTGAGGGTCTCCTCGTGGATGGTGACCGCAAAGGCCGTTTGAAAGCGCTCGGCATCGAATGGTGCCTTGGTCTTGGCCAATTTCATGCTATCCCTGAAAATAGAGATGAGTTCGTCCATGACCGAATCATCAGCAGCATCGGCATCATCGGCAGCATCGTCATCGAGACTGGTTTCCTCCTTTTTAACATTGCCTTGGGCGGCAATACTGCTGTATGAATTTTGACTTTGGAACCGGTCGGCGCCGTTTCGCTGAGAAGGCGTGTTGTGTGCACTGGTTGACACTCTAGGATAGGTTGAGGGTGTAGGTCTCATCAACGGTCGAGCGGGAGTGATAGGTCCACCGAAGGGGCGAAACTTGTCGGCGGGCTTGCGCACAGGACCATCGGGTCCAGGAATCGTAGGGGGTGCATCTGGGTGGAGTTTGTAGCTGAGTGCATCGTGATGACGCTGGCAGAAATAACTGCCTTCGATCCGAGGAATGACTTGGCAGCGCTCCTTGTACTGGGTGTTTTTCTTCATGGCCCAGCAGCGTGGATCGCGAGGGTCGAGCGGATAGACTCTGTGGAACACACAGCCGTCATATCCAGGAACACAGGGCTTACTGCAGGTCGCAGTTCCTCCGGATTTGGTGGTTGGATAGGGACAATCAGAGTTCCCGGCTTTGGAGTGGACGTTGCAATATTGCGAGTCGACGAGTCGACGACCTGGGCAAGTTTGGCCGCTGTCAAGCACAAAAAGGCAAGGAGCGATAGGATTGATTCGTTGGTTCTGAGACATGGCGATTCTAAGGTGGCTACGGATGCCAAGTCGAATCACAAGTTGAGGGAGCTAAGGCAAACTGAGTCGATAGACGTCGCCTCCGAAGCGAATACCATCCAGAAATGATCTGGAACACCGAGAGGCAAGATGGAGTGTCCTTGGCCCTCTGGCCGAACCGTCAATTAATTCATTAATTTAACTGCCATGTGGCGCATTTTTTTCTCTCTCGCTCTCTGATTGGGTGAGACCATGGAGGGGTGAAACTGAAGACACAGGCTCTGCGTATAATTTATTCAGACGAAACAACCTCTACAGTGGAAGTGCATTGACAAGAAAACACAAGCCTGAAAGAAATCAACCTAAATTTATCACTCCTGTTCAAAAATGAAGAGGATGAAGTTTCAAACCAAATTGTGGCCATCCAGGGTCTTTCTCAAGAGGACCTTGGGAGGGGAGGCATATTGCTTGGGCCACAAGTTGATGGGAGCTAAAGGAGAGGCTCCAAGATATCGTCCCCTTCTTCGTCGGGCTCTGGGATGGCCGGCTCGGGGACAGCGGGTTTGGGGGCTCTGGCGACAGCCTGGTCCTCGGCTTGGTGGGGCGGAGTTGCCGGAGGGGTAGGCGGGGCCTCGACGGGAGCGGGAACCAGGGCGTTGGAAGGGGTGTCTGGATGTTCGGGGGCTCTGGCGACAGCCTGGTCCTCAGCTTGGCGGCGCGGAGTGGCTGGGGGGGTGAGCAGGACCTGGATGGGAGCCGGGACAGGATCCTCGGTAGCTTCGACACGGGCCTCAGGATCGGGGTTTTCCAAGATTGGGAGACGAGCCTGGAAAACGGAGGGGTGGAGGGTGAACTCCTCCGGGTGTGCAATTCTAAATAAAAAATGTACAAAGCATAAAAGGCGGTGCCCGTGCAACTTATGGTTGCGGCACCTGACGATAAAATCAGATTTCTTGGTCGCAGCAAAACATCGGCGCTGGTTAAAACCAAATCCCAAGCCAAAAATAAGAAAATTGTTCATGTCGATAATCGCCTGTTGGTCGGCTATTCTAAGTAAAAGTGCGGAGCTAAGAGGTCCGAAGAGGGAGGTTTGCTTGGCGGCCGAGGGTGAAGAGCAAAAGAGGAGGAAACCTGTTAGAGTCCGAAGGGGACTCAACGGCAAAAGAAGAAGTGAGCTCGAAGTGAGCTCAGGGAAGGCAAGGGTAAAGTCCGAAGTGGACTCGGAGAGGGAGCGAGGGAAGCAAAGATCCGTTCAAGATAAGACTAGTCTCGAAATGAGACGTGAGGAACACTCAGAGAATAAAGTAGAAGGCACTTTATTTAGTCCTATTTTGAACGCTGAGGTTCGACTACACATCGCGGGGGTCAGGCTATTTATAGACAAGTCCGGACTTGGCAGCGAAGGGCGGCCAAGGGAGGGAAAAGTGGGCGATCGAGCAGGGCGAAGGGGGCGATGCACGAACGAGGGCCGAGAAGGACCACCGAGACAGGCAGAGAACCAAAGCGAGGGAGGCGCAAGCAAAAGCGAAGCACCTGGCAGGAGAAACGTGCAAAGGCGAAGCAATGTGACTCAACGTCCAAGAAGCGGATTGGTCAAGTATAAGGTTGGGGCAAATGCATGCGAGATGAACAAGAGATCGGGGCGGTCAGGCAGGTCATGAGTCACCGGTGGTGGGACACATGACCGGCAGCCGAATTGCAACCAATCGCAGCAAGGCGCGTGCACAAACAAACCGGCGCGTGCGAAGAAGACAAAGGAAGCGGAGCAGCGCGGGGAAACGGAAGTGCGGAAGGAGCGGAAATGGCAGGCAAAAGGCGGAAAATTGGAGGGGAACTGCAAAGCTACACACAAACAAACAGAAAGGCAAAAGAACAGCCAAGTGTGCAGTCAAAGTGGAGAACAAGCAGAAGCTATCCCTAACATCATCCCCTTCCTTAGCGACGAACTCCGGGCGTCGCCTTCGGCTTTGAGGGATAGCGAAGGTGGAAGTCAGCAACAAGATCAGTGGCGTGGGAAACATTGTGTTAGAGTCCAAAGGGGACTCAACGGCAAAAGAAGAAGTGAGCTCGAAGTGAGCTCAGGGAAAGCAAGGGTAGAGTCCGAAGTGGACTCGGAGAGGGAGCGAGGGAAGCAAAGATCCGTTCAAGATAAGACTTGTCTCGAAATGAGACGTGAGGAACACTCAGAGAATAAAGTAGAAGGCACTTTATTTAGTCCTATTTTGAACGCTAAGGTTCGACTACACATCGCGGGGGTCAGGCTATTTATAGACAAGTCCGGACTTGGCAGCGAAGGGCGGCCAAGGGAGGGAAAAGTGGGCGATCGAGCAGGGCGAAGGGGGCGATGCACGAACGAGGGCCGAGAAGGACCACCGAGACAGGCAGAGAACCAAAGCGAGAGAGGCGCAAGCTGTTAGGGATAGCTCCTGCTTGTTCTCCACTTTGACTGCACACTTGGCTATTCTTTTGCCTTTCTGTTTGTTTGTGTGTAGCCTTGCAGTTCCCCTCCGATTTTCCGCCTTTTGCCTGTCTTTTCCGCTCCTTCCGCACTTCCGTTTTCCCGCGCTGCTCCGCTTCCTTTGTCTTCTTCGCACGCGCCGGTTTGTTTGTGCACGCGCCTTGCTGCGATTGGTTGCAATTCGGCTGCCGGTCATGTGTCCCCCCACCGGTGACTCATGACCTGCCTGACCGCCCCGATCTCTTGTTCATCTCGCATGCATTTGCCCCAACCTTATACTTGACCAATCCGCTTCTTGGACGTTGAGTCACATTGCTTCGCCTTTGCACGTTTCTCCTGCCAGGTGCTTCGCTTTTGCTTGCGCCTCTCTCGCTTTGGTTCTCTGCCTGTCTCGGTGGTCCTTCTCGGCCCTCGTTCGTGCATCGCCCCCTTCGCCCTGCTCGATCGCCCACTTTTCCCTCCCTTGGCCGCCCTTCGCTGCCAAGTCCGGACTTGTCTATAAATAGCCTGACCCCCGCGATGTGTAGTCGAACCTTAGCGTTCAAAATAGGACTAAATAAAGTGCCTTCTACTTTATTCTCTGAGTGTTCCTCACGTCTCATTTCGAGACAAGTCTTATCTTGAACGGATCTTTGCTTCCCTCGCTCCCTCTCCGAGTCCACTTCGGACTCTACCCTTGCTTTCCCTGAGCTCACTTCGAGCTCACTTCTTCTTTTGCCGTTGAGTCCCCTTTGGACTCTAACATCATTTTGAACGCTCCCTCTTGGCTTCCCGGCCTTTCTTCTTCTTTCGCCTCTCTTTCCCTCGTCGATCCGATGGCTGAGCCTGCTGCACCCCCGGCAGATCTCAATGCGTACCTGGCGCGCATGGAGGAGCGTATGAACGCCCTCATGACCCAGAACGCTGCTCTCCATCGTCAGATCCAAGATCTGCAAGCTCCCGCCGCCGCTCCCCGCCAGGTCTACCAGGTGAACAAGCCCAAGGAGTTCCTAGGTTCCCGCGACGAGACGACGGCCTTCCTCGCCCAGTGCCACCTCGTCTTCCTCGCCGATCCTGCCTTCTTTGCGCCCGAGCGCCAGAAGGTCCTTTATGCCACCTCCTTCCTCCGCGGCGAAGCTTTCAAATGGTACGAGGCCGCCTTTTATATGGCCAACCGCTTCCCGGCTTCCTTCGCGGATTTTGAAGTTGCCCTCAAGTCGACCTTCGGTGAGGACACGGCCTCCTCGCAAGATAAGGCCTTGAACGACCTCAAACGCTTGGTCCAGCTCAAGTCCTGCCAAGCCTTCGCCACCCGCTTCGTCCAGCTCGCCGCCCGCGTCCAGACTGACGAACCCACCAAGATGCACTTCTTCAAGGAGGGTTTGAAGTCTGAGGTCAAGTTCCACCTCATCGGTCTCCGCCCCGCTCCCGCTTCCTTGCCCGAGTTGATCAAGGCAGCGGT